GATGACACAAACAAGTAGAAAAATATCCCATGCTCATGGATTGGAAGAATCAACATTGTGGAAGATGTCCATCCTACCTACGGCAATCTACAGATTTAATGCAAAACCCATCAAATTACCAGCAACATTCTTCTCAGACCTAGAAAAAAAAAAAACCCACAGGAATTCATATGGAAACACAAATGACCAAGAATAGCCAAAACAATCCTCAGTAAAAAATCCTCCTCCTCCTCCTCCTCCTCCTCCTCTTCTTCTTCTTCTTTTGAGTTAATGTCTCACTCAGTAGCCCAGGCTGGAGTGCAGTGCCACACTCACTGCCACCCCAGCATCGACCTCCTGGGCTCCGGGGATCCTTCTGCCTCAGCCTTCCAAGTAGCCAGAACTACGGGCATGCACTACCACATCCAGCTAATTTTTGATTTATTGTAGAGACGGGATCTCATCAAGTTGCCTGGGCTGGTCTCAAAATCGCGAACTCAGGCAATTCACTCACCCCAGTCTCCCAAAGTGCTGGGGTTACAGGCTGAGCCACCGAGCCCAGCCTACTTTTCTTCCTAAATGAGTCTTCTTTCCATCCTCTAACTAAATTATAGGGTTGCATCAGCTCACAATCAAGACAAATCAGAAAATATGATTATATTATATTTTATTATATCTGTGATACTTTCAACAACTGCTACTAGCATTTATATACTGCTCCAGACACTGTACTGGAAGCTCTCCCCGGCTTATCCAACGGAATCTTCACAACAACCACATGGTTAAAGTGCTATTACGAACACTTCTGACATAGAAGACAGAGGCAAGGATAGGTTTGAAAACTTGCCCCATATCACACAGTCTATAGGCAGTGCTTAGTATCTCTCATGGGTCTGTTTTTGGCATTTAGGGCAGGTACTTTTTTAGCAAATTGTAGGATGGGTATGATTTTTGACTTCCAAGCTCACATGTCAGTTGTACTCCCTTATCATCAAGATATTCAAAAATTTCACATGCAAATACCCTAGGGGAGCTACTCCTTCTAAATGACTTACTCCCAAGGCTCTATAGCAACACCCTCAAGGTTCCTGAGCTAAAGGCATCATCACTTTCTTTACATCTTTTTTTTTAATCCTCTTTAATTTTCTTCTTTTTAGTTTTACACGTCCAGGAAGAGGCTCCTGGCTTGGTAAAGGCGGCCCAGATACAGGACAAGAACAATCCATCATTTCTCTGGAAAACTTGGTCTTTGGAGCTGGATACTGTAAGCCGACTTCCTCAGAGGTAATGTCCACATGGGCCAGTGGCCCCAAGACTTTTACACTTCACTTTGTAGGGTGTGAGATCTATGAGATTTCTATACTTTCAAATGTCCCCTTTAGAGATTCTTTGATTATTTGTCCCTCCCTCTCACTATTCATTCTTCATTCATCCTTTATTTTTTAAAACCACTGCAACACGTATCAAACATATTTCTAAGGCAAAGCCCTGAGATAGGTGGAGGAAACATAGTCTTCATATGGTACCTTTTATGCATGGTCCCCTGGAAAAATATGGTTCCCTGGAGGTCAGGAGGCTGTGATGTGAAGGGACCTCTCTCAGACTATGTGGTAAAAAGCCTGCTGGCATTAAGCTGTGGCTGGTTTCATAGATTGTCTTCACCTTGAGCATCCGTTTTTCCACTTGTGGCGTGGGATCAATCTCATGCACTTTTCTATATACCTAGTGTTGTCCTAAATGTAAAGTTCCCAGTCCAATACCTGATGCTCACTAGCTGCTCAATAAATATTCACAGTTGTCCTTCTACATGTTTCTTTGTCCCAAGAAGCATCTGTTTTTTGTTTTTTCTCTGATGTGCAGGGCTTTGGCCACACACAGCATTATTCGGTTTATATCTCTCCTGAGTCAGTATATGGTGTGTTTTTATTAGTGACCTGCTCAGAATTAACTAGCCTGTATTATTCAAGGTTCTCTGGAGGAATAGAACCAATAAAATACACACACACACACACACACACACACACACACACACACACACACACACACACACGAAGATATTTATCACAAAGATTTGACTCACATGGTTATGGAAGCTGAGAAGTCCTGAACTCTGCAGTCATCAAGGTGAAGACCCAAGAGAGCAGATGGTGTAGTCCCAGTCCAAACCTGAAATCCTCCGAATTAGGAGAATCAGTGGTATAAATTCCCATCCAAGTCTAAATCCAAAGGCAGGAAAAAAACTGATGTCCTAGATCAAAGACAGTAAAACTAATGTACAACTCCCTATACATCCTCCAGACCTCATTCAGAACCCATCACCACTGTGAACACACTCTGATTTCCTAGGAAGAAATGCTTTCTCCCCAATTCTCTAGGCATCTGTGTCTGTCCCCCACTGGACTTTGAGGAGCTGGAGGTGGAGATCTTATCATTCAGCTCCACATACCTAGGGCCTAGAACCCTGCCTGGCACACATAGTGCTCAAAAACTGTGTATGGAGTGAATGATTAATACATGTGTGTACTCATGCTCATGTAGAAAGCTGAGCAGCAGGAGAATGAAGCCACAAATGCTATTCATTGCTTTTTATGGATGTAGACATAAAGCAAATGGTAGGGGCTGTGGAGTGATGGGCATCTCCATTGACACGTGAGTACTCAACGGGGATGCCCTTGGAGAATTCAGAAACCCTAGATCTACTATGGGGTTGGGTGGAGTGAGACACTTGGTATATCATTTCAATACACCGGACTCTGTTACAAATGACTCATCTGAGCATGATTCAGCTAAATCTCTACCTCTAAGACTGTTGTAAGGTGGTAAAGAGAAGATTCTGGTTTTAAATGCCTACTAGGATAAGTGCTATGTGACTTGGAAGAACTCATCCACTCTTGTAAAAACTCAGTTTTCTCAACTGTGAAATAGGATAACATCTATCTTTTAGGGAAGGTTTCAGGAGTTAATATGTGTAAAAACATTACAGAAATAGACTTAGGCACATGATATAGTATAGTGGAATTTTTGGGGGTTAATTTCTCTTCTTGGCTATTTTTGGGGATATGTGTCAAAGCAGACATTGCTGTCTTTTGCAAGAGTCAGATAAGATGGCTTATTTGTGGGTGCTTAGCTTTGAACTTGCTCATGGAGCTTAGCTCAATGAGTTATTTTCAGGACTTGATTCTTTTCCTGTGTATTTTCCATTTGGGTCCCATCCAATTATGCAGATTCAGTGCTGTGCACCCACCCTGCGCCTTCCCACCAGGCAAGGGCTGCCAAGCAAAGAATGAAATCTACTCCCCCCGACCTCCCCTGGGAGCGCTGTATCCAAATCCCTGAGAAGCCCAGTGCATTAACAAATAACATCAAAATCCACACAGATTGCAGCATCAGCTGGAAGGATTAGAGAACAGGTGTTCCCTTCAAAATAAGCCTTTTCTCACAGAGACATTTGCAAAATTACAGTTTCATAGCAAAATGAGCTGATTGGCATAAAAAATCTTGTGGAGGTGTGGTCAACATGATGTGCCATGTCCCTTTCTCATCAGCCCAGGCCCCTCTCCCCTTGTAGATTCTGGTCTTTCCTGCTTCACTTTTGACATTTAGACCTTCAGATTTAGAGATGGCAAAGCGAAGGATTGTATTCATTCTCCATCCTAAATCAGCAGCTTTGCACTGGGTGAATTATTTACTCTCTTTGACTCATGGCTCATCTGTCAAAGGGGATACTAATGTTAGGCTCACAGCGATGCTGAGAAGATTAAATAAAATAAGCTTAAGGGCTTTGAGCATAGAGCCTGACACACACACACACACACACAAATGCCCAATAAAACCTCCTGCTGATATTATTTTTCTTTCATTTATCCACATAATTAATTCAAATGCTACATCAGCTCCTATATGGTCTTGGGGTTTTGTTCTTGGCTTTGGCTGTTGACCTTGAGCCAACCACTTGCCCTCTCTGGGTTTCAGTTTCCCTAGATGTAGAACGAAAATTGAATGTGATCATCCTAGAGACATTCTCTGCCCTTTCTCTGCTGTTTTTACTATGATATCCCTAACACTGCCCGGTATAGCTGAGAACAATTGGCATATACTTGATGTATTAGTCTAGTGTCTCCAGAGAAATAGAATCAATAGAATATGTATATGTGTGTAGGAGAGATGGTGACATGCTGAGTTAAAACTGTGTGTGTGTGTCCATATATACATATACAATAATATACACACACACGTGTGTGTGTGTATTTGTATAGAGAGAAAAACAGAGAAAACGACAGACATACACAGAGAGAGAGAGAGAGAGAGAGAGAGATTGTCTGACGAGTTTAAAATCTGCGGGGTAGGCTGGCAGGCTGGAGACCCAGGGAAGAGTTGCCATTCAAGTCCAAATGCAATCTGCTGGCAGAATTTCTTCTTCTTTGGGAGAAGTCAGACTTTTCCTATTAAGACGATCAACTGATTGGACAAGGCCCACCCAGTTCATGGAGAGTCATCTGCTTTACTCAAAGTCTAATGATTTAAATGTTAATTTCATCTAAAAGATACCTTCATAGAGACATCTGGGATGTTTGACCAAATATCAGTATTGTGGCCTGGCTAGGTTGACATGTAAAATAACCATCCCACCTGATAAATATTCAGTGTCTAACAGACTCTTATTGAAAATCAAACATCTAGTTACTCAGAGTCAAGAGCATCCTGTCTTCCCCCAGGGAGGCTGCGTATCCTCTTTCTTCTCACGAGCATTCATCCAGAGGGCAAATGGCAACCTGGTGGAGAGACACTGACTGTGGAGCTCTCTCCTTGTCTTCAGAGCTCTGCCTCCTTGAACAGGGACTTCTGTGCATGTGTTCATTTATTCATCTCCTGATCATTTATTTAACCCCTATGTGTGCTAACATTCGTGTGTTACAGTGGCTCAGACAATGAATAAACCTCAGTCCCTCCCCTTAACAGGTCCTGTGAGTTAGTGTGTGGTACAAAGGAATATTTATTGTGTCTATTTCACGTCTTTTGTGACTCCATATGAATTTTAGAATAATCTAAAGAATATAAACTAGTCACAGAAGGACAAATACTTTGATTCCACTCATAGGAGGTATCTAATGTAGTCAAGCTCCTAGAAACAGATAGTATATAATGGTGGTTGACAGGATCTGAGAGAAAAAGTGAGAGAGGTTGCTGTTCAGTGGATGTGAAGTTTCAGTTATGCAAGGTAGGTAAGTTCTGGAAATCTGCTATACACTATTGTGGCTATAGTTAATTCTACATTAGACACTTAAAATTCTGTTGAGAAGGTGGACCTCAAATGAAATGTTCTTACTAGAATTTTTTTGAAGAAATAGAAATGTTATGAGGAAAACATGAAGACACTATTTATTTAAACAAAAATGTTTTTAGTTAAAAACTGTATTTAATCCATTCTACCATTTTAATAATTAAGATGGCAAGTGCTGTTGTGTTCCTCCCATTAAAATATTAAAATTTTTCTTGTAAATGGCTTTTTAAGTTAATACATTCTGTAAAATAAACAGCAAGTTGCTATATTATGTACAAGCTAAGATAGGCTTTTTGTATATGGTGAATTGCATCAATCTGCATATGAATCTAGCATAATTACACAGGACATTTTTTAAAAGATTCTTATTCATCAGTTATGCAAAAGTCTACAGTCTTGCCTCCTTATGCACCAAGCTTTTTGATACTGAAAATTGTCTTGATTCCGTGTCATCTGCCTTCTTCCATCTTACTCAACAGCAATATTTCTAGCCATGATGGGAGATGTGATATGATGAAGATGAGGCAGTCATATCCCTTCCCAGATCATCCAGTGTTCCCTCATTGGGTTCTCAGCATCAAGCAAGGTGCATGACAGACACTCAATAAATACATACTGAGTGAATGCATGATAAGGGAACAGCAGAATGCCAGATTTGGAGTGAGGAAAAACAGGGGAGGGCTAAGGTATTGGCCCCACCCACACTTGCCAGGAGGAGTAATTGTGAGAGCTTAAGTGAGCCAATTAAGCCACTCAATCTCTGTTTCTTCTTCTTTTCTTAATGGGGAGGAAAAGGTTTGTCTGGGACTCAGGGCAGGTAAGTTGCTTTCCTTTGGGGAATCCCCATTTCTCCACCCTCTTCCTTCTCCCTTCGCCATTCCCAACCCTTGGGATCATGTGATGGTGATAGTACAAACCCATCTATTCTTTAACATAAGTGTATCGGCTAAATGTAGTGAGCACTTACTTTTGACTCTATGCCAGATATTTTAATATGCTTCCC